TGTTGTAAATACTTGAAGATGATGAGGTTGAGAGAGTAAAAATGCCATTTTCGAAAAAAAATTCAAAAAACATATAAATGGCATTTTCGTAAATAAAATGAAGATGTGGGGTGAATAGGACAAAAACAAGATGAGTCAAAAGAAGAGGTTAGTTTTGTGTTTGACTTGGAGTTTTGAGTCAAATTTGCAAAAAGCCCTTGAATATAATATCTTTTTATTACATGCATAATTCTTTAACTCTTTTTTTTTGGTAAATTGAAAAGGTGGTTTCACCTCTTTAATTCATGTTCTTTAAAAAGTTAAACAAAATATTTTACACAAAGAAAAAAACTTTAACTGATAAAAGTTTGTTCCATATATCTTAAATATGTGAAACCTTTCAACATCGGCCGGCGGGTTCAAATGTTATACTTAGAACGTATCATTTTATTCAAATTGAAAGTCTTAATTAGAAATATAAAAGCGTGCGATCGATGCGCGGATTAGATCCCAGTAACAACTTATTCAAGGCTGAATGTTGAGACAACATCAGCGAGGACATAAACTAGAGACTGATGCATCGTCAGTTGACACTGCAACAGACTTGCTCATCGTAGATTGATCTGAATCAAGAGGGTCTATGGGTCTAGTATGATTGAAAAACCCTGGTCGCCGGGGCACTGGTAAAGTCATTGAAACACTAGTGAACATCACTAATATGGTGGACAAGGCTGGACGATCTATAGGATCTTCTTGAACACATAAAAGACCAATATGGATGCATCGAACCACTTCACTCTTTCTGCAATCTCCAATGATAATTGGATCCACGAGGTCTAACGCTGTTCCGGAGTTCCAAAGCCTCCAAGCCTACAATATCAGTTAATCATCAGTCAGTTGCAACTATAGCTTATATATAAAACTTGATTAGCTCTTAACTTACATATGTGACCAAGTCATGTGAATCATCCATCTCATGGAAGCTGTTATTTTTCCTGGCACTTATAATCTCAAGCACTAACACTCCGAAGCTATAGACATCAGATTTCATTGAGAACTGGCCACGCATCGCATATTCGGGAGACATGTAACCGCTGAAGTTCATAACAAAACTTTAGTATGTTGACAAAATAGTGTTCAAATAAATTCAACTTAAAAGTAGTTGACAAGAAGCCTTACAATGTACCAACTATTCTGTTTGTATTTTCCTGGGTTTGGTCCAGTCCGAAGATCCTAGCCATTCCAAAATCTGCTATTTTCGGGTTCAGATTCTCATCTAAGAGAACATTACTTGCTTTTAGATCCCGATGTATAATTGTAAGCCTTGAATCTTGATGGAGATACAAAACCCCCCGTGCAATTCCTTCAATGATATTGTATCGTCGAGTCCAGTCCAGCTGTCCTCGCTTTGCAGGCTCTGTGCACATCCGTAAGTTACAATTAGATCTTAACGTTTGAAACCCCACAAAAAGTTTCAAGAAAGGCTAAATAATCACCCGAACAAAGAAATAACGCAACTTACCGAAGAGGAAGTAATTAAGGCTTTTGTTTGGAACATACTCGTAGACCAATATCCTTTCTTCTTGTTCTAGCGAAAATCCGAGAAGCCTAACCAGATTTCTGTGCTGAAGCTTTGCAACGACAACAACCTCATTCTTGAACTCTGTGTCACCTTGTTCTGATGATTTTGACAGTCTCTTCACCGCAACTTCAGTCCCATTTGAAAATATACCCTATCCGGTTTACCAGCATCATCTCATTATCCAAACGTCTTTACAAAAAAAAAAATTCCAATAAAGTAATGAAACTCACGCGCAGTTAATACCTTGTAGACCTCACCGAATCCACCTTGACCAATCTTATTATCCTCTGAAAAATAATTTGTTGCACCTTGAATTGTTCTATAATCAAGTTGCAGCGAGTCTATAGTTGTTAAATCATCCGCTGTTGCACAATAAAACTCTTAGTAATCAAGGAAAAAAGAGGCTGATCAATGAGATTAATCAATAAAGATTGTTAATCACTTGATTGCTTGAATTTTTACCATGATTAAATGTGGGTGATGTCTCGTATGTCTTCTTTGCCTTCTTTGCAAGGAAACAGTATCCAGCTATGAAAAGTAGAACAACCACTATAACAGGTACAACAATGGCTACCACTAACACAGATGAACTCCTACTTTTCCTTGCGTTTGAAAACTCAGGTTGGGGAGGAGAAACCGGTGGAGGTAGTGGTAATGAAAATGTGCTGGCCGTGGATTTGTTGAAAAATGGATAAGTCTCGTATCTTGAATTACAGCTCGGCAAAAGAATTCTTGCCCCAGTTCTGGTAGTGGGTAATTGATTGTTGGACGTTTCCAAACAAAGCAAACAGTCTTGAGTCGTCAGATCAGGGGTGCACTGAACAAGTCCGTACACCTTAAATGCAGTAAAGTTGGCTTCTCTCGCACCGAACTTTCTGGAACTAGCCGCTTCAACGGCTGCGTTGTTCATCATGGACAAAACCAATTCTCGGTACTCCTCTTGTTGGTTAGTTGGGATAATAACATTGCTTAGCATGGTTTGTGCTTCCTCCATCTGAAGGGTCGAGAATATATCCCGGTTAGTGTATCTTAGAGCATGATTATTGCAGGTCCCTTAAGCTGGGTCCCTTAGCGTACAGTCCCTTAGCTTTTAACTGAAAACGCTAAGGAACGTCCCTTATATAAGGGATTTAAGGGACGTCCCTTAGCGTTTTCAGTTAAAAGCTAAGGGACCGTACGCTAAGGGACCCAACTTAAGGGACCTGCAATAAACATGGTCTTAGCATACACTTGTCGTAATAGAGTACGACCTCGCTCTGAATTGGACACCGCTTTAAGGATTCGTTGACGGAAAAGGTGACGCAGTTACGGCAATCTTCCAGCGAGACGTCTCCTCTGCAAAGGAAAAGTCCAGTGACCCTGTCTGGGCCTTGACCCGACGTGGCGTTTTGGAATCCAGTGGAATGTGAAGCATTGCGGGAAGAAAGGAAATATAAAAGGGTTGTGAGATTGTTGTAGTAACTGCTGTTCCTTGAATACGTTGTCGTATTTGGACAACTTAACTTTAAGAACGTAGGATTCTGAATCTGAGCAGAAGCTCTGAAGCTACATAAGATGAAGGAAAAAAAGAAAAGGAAGAAGAGAGAGACGCAAGAAGACATTGTTCGACTTCTACGATTTGGGTTTTTCACATCATGGAGCTCCCATTTATATGGATTTTTTTTTCTTCTGTATAAGAAACTTTTTTGACTGAAGATAAGAAACTTGAGATACATGATATTTTTTCAAAGACCATAAGTCGATTCAAAGTATACTGATTTTGTTTCTTTTGGTTTTGTTTTTCTAAGATGACGTTTTTGTTTTTCTTTTGTTTCTAGTCTTCGATGTAATTTCTAATCATATTTGTTCAACCAAATAAAACTTTGTTAGATAATTTGTAAATCATAATGACTTATGCTAGACTAGTATGTAGTTTATTTAGGATTCCGACAGGCAAAAGAATGTAATGCAACTAGTTCTTTGCAAGCAACTTTTGTCTTAAACATGAATATGAAAGGCGTATTGCGATGCGGAGATTCATGTAAACAAAAAACACAGCGTGTGCCTCAAGGCAGGGATAAAAACTCAGTTCTTAATTTCATGGGTGCGTACAAACAAGAAAAAAGAGGAATAGTATGCCATCATTGATTTGCTTCACAAAAAAAAGTATGCCATCGTTGATTGATACGAGGGCGTAGAACACCTCTATAAAGAGGCAAAAGGAGATATTGAGTATATTTTAAAGGGTTTCTAAATCATCTTAACCCGTGGAAGCCTTTGAGTTGTTAGCTATATTTGAGCCTTAGATTATTTAAAGTAGTTTCTGATAGAAAAATTAGACGTCCGATTAAGGCAATTTTATGTGATAATGCACTAGGAGACATGGTGGAATTTTTTTAAGAAACTCTAGAACATCATGGGTCCTCAAGTTACAAGAGAGGTGAAGTCATTTAAACAAGGGATGGGACCACAAATCTAGAACGTCAAAAATATGTCTACTTCCCAGAAATCCAATCCGAACGTTACGGCAGATCTAAGGCCATTAGTCTATGCATAGGGTTTATATTGGCTTTATTTTCTCCAATATTAACGTTGAAAAGCTTGAGGTACAGGATGGTTGTCAAAGATGACACATATAGTTTCAAACCTTATTAACTACTACAAGTACACAATAACAACTAGTAATTTAGAGGTCAAATCGACATAAACTAATGTTACACTATACAAAAGAACTTCAATAAATTAATACTCGATCAATTAATAATCTTTATGAATTAATAAATTTTGTCGGTCCCAACTTGAACCGATCCAAAATTTGACACAAATCGATAAAATAATAAGATAATATTGTTTTTGGAAAATTCTATGCAAATATATGGTCTCATTAAAATTATAAATTAATAATTTCTATGTATACATATTTTATATAAGTAAGAACCTATCATTATTTTGTTTGTATTAAATTCACAATGGAATTATTTTTCTATTTTTCTTAATATTTAATATATTTTTGATGAGATTTAGTAATATATATCTAAAATCACATTTAAGTCCTATGTAATATATATTATATGCACCAAATAATATAATATAATTAATATAAATTTTCAAATTTCAAAAAAACTAATTAATGTCTATGCATTAAAATCAAATATATTTTTATCTTAAAATAAATATATCTTGTTGCTCAAAAAGGAATAATATATCTCAAAATAAAAAATCTAAATAAGGAAATTTTTGTAAATTAATATCTCTATAAATTAATAAAATTTCAAAGTCGCAACATTATTAATTTATAGAAATTTTCCTGTAGTTCCTTCAAAATGAAATTTAAGAAGAAATGTTGGTTTTGTTATTGTAAGTAAAAATGGTTTGTCTTGATCGCCATAAATTATGCTCTATATCTCGTGTTTGTCTGTAAGGCATAAAATTTTTCTTGCACTAATATAATGTTAACATTAATCAAATGTCTTGTCACATAAGCAGATTGTCTGAGATTAAGTTCGGGATAACTCTTTTGAATATCTTGCATAAAAATTTGGAGATAATTTTATACCTCACATTAAAAAAACTAATAGGTCTGAACTCGTTCATCTCTGTAGGTCTATTTTCTTTAGAATGAGATAGATATTCTTCTCGTTCAGTCTTGGGTTGAACTTCCCATGGTGATGAAATCTTCCACAAGTTTTCAAATCAAACACATCTGGAGCAGAAACGATATAAAACAAATGGCAGGAATCAATATTACAAATTCAGAAAATTCGCTTGGACTAGATTGCACAATTTTCTCGGGAAAAAATGTGAAGAAACTTGAACAAATTAAAAGTTTGAGACAACTTGGAGAATAAGCAAGAGTTGGAGGACAAAATGTGAAAATACCAAAAGTTGACCATTGTTACGCTAATCAAGATATATTTTCGAGATGCGAATGATTCGACGATTCTGGTATCCACAACTCCGGTCCCGAGCATGACGACCACGTCGAGGAGGAGAAGACTTGACCTTGAGGTGGAATGCGATAGAGCTTTGTGCGTGATGTGAAGACTGAAGCGACGACAACCCAATGACCACCACATCAGATTCGTGTCGTGGAAGAAGTTTCACGGCATAGAACGGCCGGCAGTCTCAGATCAGCTTCTTTGTGGCTGTGAATCGAAAACACGAGTAAACGCGACAGAGATGGTTGTAGTGGCCCTGTGGTTCAAGAGACGCCGTGACAAAGGAGGTACAGTGTTTTTGAATTTTGAGCATGAGTTACTATGGCAGAGCATGCCATCATTGTTTCAATTGTTTCCTAAAGATTGAATCTCAAATTCTTATTTTTTCTTGAAAAAATTCCAAATTTTTTTACTAAGAACATCTCCAAGAGCAACCTTAAAACCTCAAATATAAGATTTTGTGTGTTCCAAGAACAACCTCAAAACCTCAAATTATAAGGTTTTGTATAATGAAACCTTATATTTGAGGTTTCACTGTACAAAACCTTATATTTGATGTGTCATATATTTTGGGTCTTTGTACTTGTATGTCTTTTAAATAGTTTTGATAACTTTCTTGTTTATCATTTCAGTCTATACAGTTTTATATCTTTTATATATTATAATTTTAACTTTACATGTAAATTTAATAAATTATAAATACTTAAATAAAAAAAAGATTTTTTTTAATTATATTAAACAGATATTATACAAGACAATATTACATCAAAAAATTTAATACAAAATACAACAAAGTAAAAATGCATAAAATAAAATTACATAATTATGTATTTTGTTGTTGTTCTTGAGTTCTTTTATTTATGATTTTTTCAGATTGAATAAACTCACGAGTACTCGGTTTCAAAAATTTTTAGCTCCTAATCTACAAATTAAAGATAAAGAGGCTCATTTATCGTTTTGAAATGCACTAATTAATCATGTATGGGAGCATTATGGAAATAATATTAATAATGAATAATTATGTATTTTAAGTCTTTTATTTATATGTAATTTGCTATTAGAATGCAATAGTTTATTAATAAATATTATTTATAAAATTTTGTTGTATGATTTTAGTTGTTATAAAACTTTTATGATTTTCTTTGATTTTTGTCTAAAGTCAGGACTATGATATAATAATATAAGACTTTTAAAGTTTTTTTTTAAGGTTTACTCTTGGAGAACAATACCCTTAAACCTCAAATATAAGGTTCACCAAACCTTAAATAAAAGGTTTCTCTTGGAGAAGCTCTAACGGAAACAAAATGAAACTAAAGAATTTGTGGTTTTGATTTGGTTCGAGAAAACTACTTCCATAAAAAAAAACTTCCCTATACTGTAATAAAAACTCAAAAATCCACCTTATATTTTTTTAAACATTGGATTATATTTAAGTAAAAAGTTCTAAACACTTAGAACTAGGAAAACAAATGTAGAAAATAGATACAGCGGTATAGATCGAAAGTAAACTAACATATCTATTTTGCGTATAAATGACTAACGATTTTCATATAAAAATTCCATATCTTCTTCTCTGATAGTTGAATTTCGAGGGAGATAATCTCCATATTAGTTCTAAAACATCACGATTCAGACTGATAATAACAAAGAGTTTACCATTCCATAAAATTTCATGTTGTCGTTCATAGTAACATTGCAGCAAGAACTCCATCACCATCAAATAAAAACCATCAATCATTGAAGATGGTAAGAACCATCGCCACCATATAAATTGGAAGAAACATACAAATAACAAGAAAAAACTTTGCTAGATTAACAAAAAAATTGACAATCAAGTAAACCAAGAGACGGAAGCAAAGAAAATTAAAGAAAGAGGAGCAAGTCAAACTAAACAAGCCCAATGCCGGAGCTGTAGAAGTTTCCAACCATCAGTTTGAAACTATAACAAATATTTCTTGACTGATAGGGTTTTAAAAATAAACGAGTCGACTTTATATGTTAATCACTCTAAAAGATAGTTACAACTAGGTTTTTTCTTGCACCACGTGCAGAACTAAGAGTTTTAAATTAATTTTGTAATTTTTTTAAATTTTATCATTTGCTTACAATATTTAATTTTAAATTCTAATTTTGATTATACATAAAAATTAAGATAAAATAAATAATTTCTATTTATATTAAATAATACCTATGTACATATTTATAAAATTATAATCTTGGAAAGATTTTGTTATCTATTCCTTTTGGTTAAAATATATTATATCAAATTTTATAAATTAAGAGAAAATTTAGAATAATTATTAAAAATAAAAACGAAATAATATTACTAAAATATTTAGATATTAAAAAGAAACTAACGGTATTAGGTTTAGAAAGATACAATTTTTTAAAAACAAACTGCATAAAATTTTGAAGATTTTTACTAATAAAAACCACATGACTATAAAAAATAGAATTAGATAATATTGATAAATTTTTAAATCTTATATAATAAAGT